GAGCTGGAACCAGTTCTAAACGGCACTGTAGATTTGTGGAACCTCTTCTATAGAAGATGTTAGAACTGGCAGGAACCCACCCCTGCTGCACACTCAAGTATCATTCTCCTTTCTTCTTCCTTCCCCACTTTTCCTTCCTTGCTCTCTTCCCAACTTTCCTTCTTTTTCTTTGGCTTTCCTCTTTCCCTTTCTCCTTTCCTCTCCCTTCTTGGACGCTCAAAGGCAAAAGGGGAAACATTTCTTCTTTTTGTTTTGCTTGGCTTTTAATTGGTTTCTCTAGCCCTCTGCCAGTGATAACGGAGTTTGGGCGGGGACCCACGCATGGCTCCCCCAAGCTCCATTTTCGCTGGCAGAGGCACTGCAGATCTTTGTCCTTTGCTGTTTCCAGGGCCACTCTGCAGGCCAGATCCAAACAACCTGCGGGCCAGATCTGGCCCACGGGCCTTGAGTTTGACACCTGTGAGTTACTGCCTTCTGTCATTTAACGATGGAATTTTATCAATGCACAGTTTTTCTAAGCACCGTCCAAGATTGCACCCAGAATGTTGATAATCATTGGGACCACCATAGCTGCTTTATGCCATAATCTTTCCACTTCGATTTTCAGAAACGGATACTTTATGATCTTCTCAAAGACTTCTTTGTCTTCTAATCTACTATCCCTTGTTATTTTCTCATCAATTATCCCCACTTTCTTTTGTTCGTTTTCAATGACTTTTTCAACTACACGTGCCAACCAATTTTTCATTACTGGCAATACGATCGTTTTTTAACAGATGCGGCAGTGAATAATTTTAGCGACTATGTTATGTCGCTGTTTACTCTTAGTCTGTGTGAGTTTCATTTAACTTTTTGTATTCGTTTGTCGAAGTATAAAATACAAAGGAAAAAAATGGCATGAAAAGTAAGAAGAGAAGGAGGGGAAAAGAAGGGATATGTTGTAACAGGAGGAAAAAGGAAGGAAAAAGGCATTGACTTCTGACTCTCTTTTTTTAAACATATTTTTTAATGTCCATTTTCACAACATACAATCACATGTATACTATACATAGCCAGTATCATATAGTAACAAATAATGATCAGTCCCTCTTGTCATCAACACCCCTCAAAAAACCCCATTATTAGCTCTTCTGCTCTCTATACGCCTCCCTCTTCTACTTCTCTCCTACTTCCTATCTTCCCTCCATCATCCCTTCCCACTCTACTTCCCCTTCCTTTCTCCTTCTCCTCTCTCTACATTCCACTCCTCCCTATCCTCATCCTCCACATCCTCCCCCCTCACCCTCTCTCCTATCCCTCTCTTCCCATCTTTCTCTCTACATTCCACTCCTCCTTATCCTCATCCTCCACATCCTCCCCCCTCACCCTCTCTCCTATCCC